TTGAAGGTGTAATGTTTTACCTACCAACTTTGTTGGTTTCAGGGTTCATCCACTTTCTATTTGAAGTATACATACCGTATTATCTCTAATATAAGCACAGTCTCCAATAATAGCACGTCTCCAATAATAGAACACCTTGGGGCGGCATTCAAAAAATAAAGTGCTCAGTCTCCATTATAAGCACACTGTGTAAATTCATTATCTGTACCGGCGAAAACCCCCTGAAATGTGTGTGTTTGACATGAATTTGGCATGGCAACATGCCTCTGAAATGAGGTTGAAATAATAATGGAACAGTCTCCAATAAAGGAACGTCTCCAATAATAGCACGGGGCGGAGGTACATTGAAAAAATAAAGGACCGTGCTTATATTAGAGATAATACGGTACCCTTTAACCATGCACTGGTTCTGGCTACCGTAAAGTCTTGTGTAATACGCGACCGAGTGACAAGGCAAAACTGGTTCAGTCTCTCCGGCAAAACACAGGTAGTATTCTCAGGGAACAATATTGCACACACGGAACGACAAACGTAGGTGACACAGAATTACTTATAGTATATTGAAAGACTCAATAAGTGAAGGGAAGACGACAGAAACAACGGAGGCAAAGACTCTGCAACAACTGAGCTGGGCAACTGACACACGGATCTATATATATGGTACGAGATTGCCAGTTACAGCTCCGAGCGCTAGCTAGCGAATGAAAGCAAGGGATCTGATGGTGTCAGCAATGCATAGTGCAATACATAGTAATACATAGTGATTTGTGTAGGGGGAAGTCCGTCTACTACACTACATAGTAATACATAGTGATTTGTGTAGGGGGAAGTCCGTCTACTACACTACATAGTAATACATAGTGATTTGTGTAGGGGGAAGTCCGTCTACTACACTGCTCCCCCCTCAAATAATTTTCCGTCCTCGGAAAACAAACAAGAACATAATACAGAATTAACGTAGACCTAAACGAGGCTCAAGCAGCAAAATACATCAGCAAGAAAAAGAAAATCATACACAAGCACACAATGGAAACAGAGTGGAGCAGAAAGGCAAGGCAAGTGCGAGTTTGGAACTCATTGTGGGAACACATAGTTGTTCCTGTAACGAACAGGAAGACCGGCGTTGCGGTGCAGATGGGCACGCGGACCAGGTGCTGGTGGCGCTGGCTGCAGCAAAACCGGCGGCGGAGGAGGAACAGGTTGGGGTGGGGCATCATCAGCATCAGGCCAGGAGAATAGCGGAACAGGCGGCGGACATGGAGAAGTAGGAGCCTGTGGCGCTTCAGACAGCGGGACATCTGGGCCGGACTGAGAGACTGACGACTTGGCGTTTGAGCGGGCGTGTAGCTTGAGGCGGTTGAAATGTACACGCTTACTGGTGCTGGAGGGTTCGTTGATCAATTGAATGTCGTATGACGTTGGCGGCGACACATGGACAATCCGGTATGGTCCGGTCCACGGTGGCTGGAGTTTGCGACGCATTCCAGGTTCAAGGAGCCACACACTATCACCGACTTGGAATGCAGTGCCACGTTGACGAAGGTCGTAGTGGTCCTTCTGGCGGTGGTGCGCAGCATTATCATTACGACGGGCAGTATCGAAGCTATGGTGGAGGGACTTGGACAGTTGTGTTACATATTCGGCGGGCGACACAAACTCTGTCGGGGGTGACCCATAGACAAGGTCGATAGGCAGACGGAGTTGGCGACCAAACATAAGCTGAGCTGGGGTGAATTGGGTAGAAGAATGCTTGGCTGTACGGTATGCAAGCAGGACGGTTGAAACATACTGATCCCAGAAGGTGGGCAGATCCGCTACATACACTCGCAACGTTGAAACTATGGTGCGGTTGAGGCGTTCCACGAGCCCATCGCCCTGGGGATGATACGCGGTGGTCCGAGTCTTTCGGATATTCATGAGGCGACACAGTTCACTAAAGAGTTCAGACTCAAATTGTGTGCCCTGATCGGTGTGGAGTTGTTCTGGGGCACCAAACCGACAGATCCAGTTCCGAAAGAACACATCCGCAACGGCAGCAGCAGTCATAGTGGGTAGAGGGTACGCTTCAGGCCAACGTGAGAAGTAGTCACTACATACCAGTAGGTAACGGTTGCCATGGCGACTGGTAGGCAGTGGTCCAACGAGATCCATGGCTACGATCTCGTTAGGGAAGCCAGCTCGCATGGACTGCAATGGTGCTCGGCCAGTCGTAGCGCTCTTACGGGACATGCACTCTTGGCAATTAGCTACAAATGTGCGCAAATCAGCTGACATACCTGGCCAGAAGAAACGGCATTTGGCCTTGTCAATGGTCTTTGTAGCACCGAGATGACCACCACTAACATCGGCGTGCACTGCAGCTAAGATATCAGCTTGGAAAGAGAACGGAACAGCTAATTGCAAAACAGAATCAGCCGATGGGTCTGTGCGATACAAAACACCATCACGTAGGGAAAGCAAATGAATTTCAGAAGCATAGCGGCGAACAGCACGGCTAGAGGCAGTTAATGTGTGTGCAGGGGGAGAATTAAACACATCATGACTAGAATCATGCCAGCCTAACACAATGGACACATCAGGATCCTCTTTTTGCGCAGCAAGCAGCTCAGCAGCAGTAAAGCGCGGCAGCCAGGAGTCAGGTGCAGGTTTCGGTACAGTGGGTCCAGGATCACAAGCAGGAGCAGGAGCTGCTGGTGCGGCTGGTGACGACTGGTCAGGCGGTGACTGACGGGTAGTGGCGGCAACAGACTCAGGAGGACGGCGAGACAGAGCATCGGCATTGCAATGTTGACGGCCAGGGCGATGAATAACCGTGAACTCGAGTTCAGCAAGTTGTTCTAACCAACGGGCACGACGACCGCGTGGTTCCTTGAGCGAATGGAGCCATTTGAGAGCAGCATGATCAGTGCGCACAACAAATGCTCGACCAACGAGGTAGTAGCGGAACACATCAGCGAAGTGAACAAATGCAAGGAGTTCCTTCTCCGTAGTGGAGTAGTTACGTTGGGCGGTGTTGAGAATAGCACTACCGTAGGAAATCACACACTCATGGCCATCTTGTACCTGAGAGAGCACACCGCCCATACCAAAATCACTGGCATCCACATCAAGGATGAAGGGAGCGGCGGCAGACGTGTAGTCAGGCTGAGCAAGCACAGGCGCAGATGAGAGGCGTTTTTTTAGTACACAGAAAGCAGCCTGACAAGCAGGACCCCAGGAAAACTTCGCATTTTTCTTAGTGAGTGCGGCCAGGGGAGCGGCAGCTTGCGCGAAGTGCGGAACAAATTTCCGGTAATACCCAGCGAGGCCGAGAAACCCACGCACTTCACGAACGGATGTCGGCGTACGCCAGTGAACAATATCGTGAACCTTCGAAGCTGAGGTGTGAAGGCCATCGGCACTGATGTCCACACCAAGGAACTTAGTGCGGGGCTGCAGGAAAGCGCATTTCTCAAGCCGAAGCTTGAGATTGTACCGACGAAGACACGTGAAAACGGACCGGAGGCCATCCAAGCCAAGACTAACAGTGGCTGACCCAAGGCCAATGTCATCAAAAAACACACGGCAGACGGGATCAGGACTGGTAAGGAGATTATTTAGGATCGTTTGCATCAAGCGCTGAAATGTGGCAGGCCCATTGCAGCAACCCATAGGAAGAACCGTGAACTCGTACAACCCAAGGGGCGTCACGAAGGCTGTTTTAGCTTGGTCTTGAGGGTGGATTGCGATTTGCCAGTAGCCACTAGCAAGGTCAAGTGTCGAGAATACCTTAGAGCCAGAGAACGCGTCTAGGGTATCGTCGACCCGAGGAAGAGGATAAGCATCAGCTGTGGTGATCTTGTTGAGCCGGCGATAGTCAACACAGAGACGCAGAGAGCCATCTTTCTTAGGCACGAGGACAACAGGCGAAGCCCACGGGCTCGCAGAGGGAATAATGACACCTTTCTGCAGAAGGTCATTGATAATATTCTGGAGCTGCTCACGATGACGGAATGGAACACGGTAAGGTTGTTGTTTAATAGGCGAATGATCACCTGTGTCTATCTTATGTGGCGCAAGATCACAGTACCCATGGTCGTCGGGATGAAGAGCAAATACATCGTGGTACTGCAGGAGAAGGTCACGCAAGGTAGAACGGTCCGTTGGTGACAGGTGACAACAATTCTTTTCGATATACGCATCAATCTTCTCTACTGGGACAGGCGGCGGCGGCATGAACGGCGAATCATCAACAGCAGCACAAGTGTCAGCACACTCAGGGACAGGTTCACATACAGCAATATGAGTATTTGCATGCAAGGTAATCTGGGTGGTACCACGGTTAACCACATTGATAACCAAGTTATCCGGGGACGTGACAGACGTTCCGACATCCAATGTCGGGTGTTTCTCTGAGAACAAATCAAGGGGCTCGATTAGATACGAAGTATCAGCAGCAGGAGAGCCAGCAGCACATACCGACGGGGCAACCGGAAGAATAACTTCATGACAGGGCGGAACTGAAACAGACTGTGTGATGCACACACGGAACGAGGAAGCAACACGAGACACCAGAGATTCAACAGCATTGGCAGCAGCAGCAGGCGGAGCAGCAGCAGCAAGCACGGAGGCAGGGACGGCAGCAGGTACGGAGGCAGCGACGGCAGCAGGAACAGTCGGAGCACTCAGGTCGGGCACGACAGTCGTAACATGGGCTGGTGTGGGCGCGGCAGCAACAGCAGCAGAAAGCGAACGCACACGTAGAAGGGGTACAAGCGGCAATTTAACATCATCCAGGACCAACTGAGCCCGGGAGAAATCAAGCAGGACATTGTGCTGCTGTAGGAAGTCAGCACCGAGGATTACATCAGACGTGATATCAGCAGCAACGATAAAATTCTGAACAGCTACGAACGAGGGTGTACAAACAGAGAGGGACACGGTACCCGTAGTGGAGAGGGGACGGCCCGTCACACCAGACACAACAGGAGCAGCAGACACAGGGACAGAGGAGGTCGTGCACAGACTACGCCACAATGCAGTAGACACAAGTGAAACACTAGAACCAGTGTCAACAAGAGCATGGCATTTTGTATCTTGGAGACTAACCGCAACATAGACAGACGGAGAAACTGCAGAAGACGACTGAACATGAGTAACAGGACACACAGTCACAGGTGCAGACGTAGGGCAACGCACATCAACAGTACAATAACAGGGACGACATTCACAACCAGTACAAGTCGGCACAGTCGAGCTAGGAACACTAGTATCGAAGACTGGAGCTTGCCGAGCAGCACCAGTCAATAGCGGTTTCCCGACGGACGACCCCCACGCGTCGAGTGGGGACAATCACGACGGAAGTGGGACGGATCGCCACACGTGAAGCACCCGCGATCACGCGCGCCATCGTAAAGTCCGCGGCCTGTGCCGTTGTACGGAGGCGGGTTACGATTCGAGCTGCCAGGAAATCGAGTTGGGCCCGACATGGGCGCGCTTCGAGGGAAGACGCTGTGACCACGGCCGCGTGGAGCTCGAGTGTCGTCACTATACGCCCGTGGCGACGGAGCGGAGGTTGCGGAGAAGACCTGTAGATCAGCTAGCTGGTCCGAAATTTTGCTCAACAACGATAGTACGAGCGGGTCGGTGGAGCTCGAAGTCGAACTCGGAGCTACGTGGGCCACGGTGGCACTGGACGTAGGAGTCGGATCCGCGAGTGGACCTACGGAGTGTGCCTGAGGCATAGAGGCGGTCAGGGCAGCGCAGGCTGGTGTAGGAACCGGAAGACTGCGGCGATTCTCGACCTCTAAGATCGCTGCAACTTCGTACGCCCGTCGAACGGCGGCATCGAGGGCTGCAGGGCTGGATGTCCTGATGTGCAAGCGCAGGTCACTATTGACCTGGCCGTCAATAAATTGATTGAGCGTCAGGCGATCTAACAGCGGACCCTGTTGACCTGGAAAGGCGCGTGCCGCAAGGCGCTGAAGAGCTGCGGCGAACTCGGCCTGGGACTCAGTGGATCGTTTCAGGCGACTCCGAAACTCGGCCTCAAGGAGGCGACTTTGCTGTGGCGGTGCGAACCGTAGCCCTAATTCGGTGCACATTTCTACATACGTATACTGCGGGTGCGCCGCCAGAATGGTCTGGTAAGTTGTAAAAGCACTCTCCTTGAAACAACAAGGTAAAAACTGCAGCCTTTCCGCATCCCGGTACCCATTTACCACGCACGCTGCGTCGAACCTGGCGATGAAGCAGTGCCAATCGTCTTGGCTGGCACCCCCAAACGTCGGCGGTACAACTACCGGCCGAGCAAGTGGTGCCTGTTGAGGAGCCGGAACCTGACCCGGAGCCAGAGCTGGTGCAGCGGGAGCAGCAGCGGCAGCGGCAGCAGCAGCTTGAGGATTCTGTGCCATTTTCGGTGTCTTGTATATAAGGATAACAAACAAACAAGTAGGCCTATAGGACTTCGCAAGCAACACGGGACGCGTTTGAGGACTAAGCCTACGCTATAGCAACAGTTCAAGTACGGCGAGCAGTGCAAGAAAAACTGGCAACGAAGAGCTAGCTTACTTAGGGGACAAGACTACGAATAGATCCAACAAAGTAAGCCTAGAAAATACTAGCACGACAAAAATGTAAATATTAAAATCGTAAATTGGCACGGAACAAAGTTACTCAGCTTGAGTTGAGACGAGAACAGCAACGGCAACGTTCACTGCACGGCGAAATAACGAGGCGTGGTCCGGAATACTGCGACTGACGAACGCAGAGCTAACACCGCTGCCACCAAATGTAATACGCGACCGAGTGACAAGGCAAAACTGGTTCAGTCTCTCCGGCAAAACACAGGTAGTATTCTCAGGGAACAATATTGCACACACGGAACGACAAACGTAGGTGACACAGAATTACTTATAGTATATTGAAAGACTCAATAAGTGAAGGGAAGACGACAGAAACAACGGAGGCAAAGACTCTGCAACAACTGAGCTGGGCAACTGACACACGGATCTATATATATGGTACGAGATTGCCAGTTACAGCTCCGAGCGCTAGCTAGCGAATGAAAGCAAGGGATCTGATGGTGTCAGCAATGCATAGTGCAATACATAGTAATACATAGTGATTTGTGTAGGGGGAAGTCCGTCTACTACACTACATACCGTACTGGCAATATATGTTGCCGCAGTGAGGCCATGAAGCGTTACATTGGCACATGTTTGCCGCACGCAGGGCGTTACATGCAAAGTCGCACAGGAGCCATTACACAGGTTTCTATATTGCCGCAGTCCTTTTTTTGCTATTGCCGCATCACTTTTTTGCTATTGCCGCATCATTTTTTTTGCTTTTGCCGCATCATTTTTTCTTTTCATCCACATTGAAGGCACAGAAATTCAGTTGCTATCCAACTGTTACAAACCCGACGGCAAAGGGCGACAACGATATCAATAGAAGACTGTATATTTTAACTATCAGAGTGCAAAACGACCTCGGGAAAGAAGAAACCATTGAGATCGCCAACCACTGAATGATGCGCCTTCGAGTGTCAGGACTTCCTGCTGCTGCTGCGTCCAGTTTTGAACTTTTCACCACGCGCGCGGTACACGTGCTTTCACAGTTTTCAGCCTTTTTTTGCAGTGCAAACTGCAATGAAAAGATCGCCGCACCCCGCCGGACGCGCGTTACGAACTCAACGAAAATTTGTCGCACTAGCCTGGTCGCGCGTTACGCCGCACCCCCCTGCGTTACGCGTTACGCGGCAACATATATTGCCAGTACGGTAGTAATACATAGTGATTTGTGTAGGGGGAAGTCCGTCTACTACACTACATAGTAATACATAGTGATTTGTGTAGGGGGAAGTCCGTCTACTACATCTTGTATACAAGCCGTGGCTTATATGACTTTCTTGGTGAAATTTTGCAGGCTTCTATATGAGACAGGCTTCTATACAAGACAGGTATTTCTATGCATGTCAACACTAAAACCAGGCTTATGTGTGATATGATGGGCCCAGAATTGCGGCTTTTATTCGAGGGCGGCTACTATTCAAGTGCGGCTTTCATACAAGACGTTACGGTATATTAACCCTTGTGTAATCAATGGTGCTAATGGAGCTTATATCAGATCCACTTTGACTTAGCAACCCATACTACGGTAGCAAATATTACCTTCATCGGGGGCAGGGATGAATGCATTTGAATCCCGGGACGGATGCCCTGATGCCGTCAATCCTTTCCCTGCACCTTGTCATCACCCACTTCTTGAAGTGTGGTGAGCCCATAAGTGGGATCATGTCCAAGTCCACCTAGAGTTTGGGGATTTCAGGGGGTTTCCACCTAGAGTTTGGGGATTTCAGGGGTTTCCACCTAGAGTTTGGGGATTTCAGGGGATTTCAGGAGGTTTCAGGGGGTTTGCGATAAGTATTATACATGTGGCTAGGAAATAGACTGCTGATGATCTTTTGCAACTTAAAGGTGAATGCACATGTGTGTAACTATCAGGCAAAATATACCTTGCAGACTGGTCATACCATAGTGGGTATTGGGTATTGGGTATTGGGTATTGGGTATTGGGTATTGGGTGTTGGGAGCTACATGCAAAAAGAAGTTTTAAAGGTGTGAATCATACATTGAAAACTACTGTAATATTGTTATCTGATCCTGTTGTACAGCATGCAAACGCGACAGCAATCATCAAGGATGCTGCAATACATGTGGTGAGTGGACATATCAGCCTGCATAATTTCTTGTCACCTTGAAAGATTTCGGCCTAAGTATGAAACTACGGTCTTGAGAGTATCTGACCCGGAGCATGTTGATATGGACTTGCATGCGAGTATGCCAGTGCTACCCTGGGTACATGGATTGAAAATACAAAAATATGATAATAGTAAAACCTCAGTGAAACAAAGCGGAAAGTCACAGCTAAATCACCCTGCTGTATTTGAAGCATTAATATGATTATCTTTTTCAAGTGATGAATGTGGGTGCGTGTTGTGTGCTTTGTGCTGTGCGCTGTCGGCGCTGTTGGTGGATGTAACCTTACCTATTGCCCACTGTGCACTGCCAGGACTTTATATGGGACCCATTTATTGGCAAGTCATGGACGACTTTGTTTAGTTACTTGCAATCGGTGAGTCTGATACCTCTGTCTGGTTATTTATACAAACATAATGAGATGTGCAATATGTGCGGTTGCGTCCCATGAAATTTTACGCCGCATGGCTGGTCTAGCGTTGGGTGAATATAGGGCTATCCACTGATGCAATGTGTATGGCATCCTGGTACAGCCCCAGCCATACCAGCTAGCAATACTGCAGTTTATTCTAGTTATCATGGTTGCTGATATGGCATGGTGTGGCATGGCGTTGGGTGGCATGGCGTGGGATGGGGTGGGGTGAATCGACATTATGTCTCACCTTTAAGTGGTAGGTGTATGGCAATACAGGCTGTGATGGTGCTGTATTTGTACACTATCACCCGTGCATGGCAGAATCTTCTGTGTACTGTGTGTGTAGTTCAAGTATATGCTTCTATCTTCTGTGTCCCCGACATCCAGAATCCATTGGACAGTGTGGACTTGATTGTGGCCGGAGCAGCATTGGTGAGTTTTCCAGAACCTCACTTGAAAGAACTACCAACACAATATGCTTGAATTATCATGTTGCAAGAAACCATTTTGTGTCCCGTTCCTGCAGTATAATAGTAACCCGCCTACAAGTACAATTTACTTGATCTCCATTTTCGCAGCACCACATGTTTGTCCTATCTGAAAAACAGACCAGAATGCTGGCTTTCTGTTTGCGTTGTCTCCCGGCTCTAGTGGACAATACGAAGGGACCCCTCACTGGAGGGACTGGACCAGTACCAAGGTATGCCAAACACGTGTGCTCCAAGCGGCTTTTTGTACTGTTCTGCTGGCTCGGCTTTGAAACTTACTTGAGAAAATTCTACTTTTTGTTTAATGATACCGTATTTTTCGGAGTATAGTGCGCACCTTTGTATAACGCGCACCCCCAATCTTCAATGGGAGTGCGCACTTCAATCTTCATTGAAGTACATGCATTTCATATTCGGAGCATAGTGCGCACCTGCGATTTAGGGCCTAAAGAGCACATCTAAAGTGCGCACTATACTCCGGAAAATAAAAAAACCCAGACATTGTACATGTACTAGCCGTCAAATGCAGTCTTCATTCATATCATTCAAGTTAGTATTAACTTTGACAGTCCCATCAGGAAACTCACTGTGATATCCATGTACATGTATTGTGTTGACGTCACTAAGACGTCACTAGGACTCTGCATGCACGCAGGCCAACTTGTGCTTCCTTGCCCTTTCCTTGTTGTTCTGTCTTCCGAGTCCTTGAAGTGACTTCCTCGTTGTTGGCTTTTGTGAATAGAATTATACATACCGGTAACCTCCTTGTCTCAGTCTGAGTTGTAATACTCACTCTGACATTTTGTCCTTGCAGCCGACACGGAATCTGTGCTTCGCCTGCTGTCATCAATAGTGCGCAAATCGGATACCAACTTGGTGTGGGTACAGCAAGGTTAGTCGTCTATAGTAGGATGTTCAGTGAAATGGAGAGTATTGCTGTGTTGCCTCTGCTATCAACATGCATGCCCTAGATCCATTGCACAGGTAGCTAGTACTAGCTACGTATAATGATTCGATATCTTTGACTTCTCAGTGATGGATTGAGTATTTGTGATAGTAGCACCTGATTGAATGTACTGTAAAAGCAGAAATTTTCGGTGGTGTAATATTTTCGGTATTCTCCAAAAATCGGCGGTTCAGTGCAGGGATTTTTTTTCAGTGAAACCTGTTTTCCAGGTAAGTGTACTAGTACTACATGTATACAGTATAGGTTGTACCGAAAATTTCGGTGCGTTTTATTTTTGGTAAAAATTCAAGTGTCGGCACCGAAGTTACCGAAAATAAAACACCACCGAAAATTTCTGCTTTTACAGTATCCGGCCTCAACTGCTACCTGTACGCGACAGCTACTAATCCCAGTCCCTCAAGAAACCAGTGAAAATACGGTGTATGAGTTGGAGATAATGGAAAGTATAATACCAATTCCAGTCATGATGTAGTTTTCTTCTGATAATCTTTCAATGTGCCGATGGTGTAGCCTATATCAATGAAAGAGTGCGAACAAAAAGAAGGAGCAACTTCACCAACCAACGTATTCGAATCTACAATGATGCTGTTGATGGTATCTGGTGAGTACATGCCCAGGAGCTGACACAAGTAGGAGTATAGCAAACCAGCCGGTCTGAAACCAAAATTGGGTGTCCTATTGTATGGCATGGGACCTAGTATCGGTGTGAGATTCTCGACCCAGTGAATCGTGGATACCTAGCAAGCGAAAATGAAATGTACTAACGATGAGATGTGCAACACAAACTGTCTCTCTCCTTGCTGTATTGACAATCTCACTCTGTTTGCGTTTAGATTGACTTTGAGTAAATTGATATTCATCAATGAATCACTGAAGAAGAACTTCAACCCTCCTGCCCCCCCCCCCCCCCCCCCACCTCCCGAAAAATACAAAGTTTTGCTTTGAGTCAAAATATTGTTATAACTTACGGCCACTATGCAGCTGGTCTTCGAGGGATGAGGAATATCTTCAGCAGTGTGCAGTATACGTACTACATGCTACTACGCACTTGTAGATGAATAGAGAAAAGGCAATAAGGTCGTGAATGAGAATCGATGTGTGACAGTGTATCTATGTCTACTCTGCTCAGGCGGCGCGTCAGAACTCCCGGCATGTTTAAGTTCAGTCCCGGTCATGCACCATTGATCCCAGACGGCGCGCATTACACTGATGACGCTAATGACAAGGTCAGTTGTGTTTGCTTGCCCGATGACATTTCATTCTGCTGGATGCTAGTGTGGATTTCCAACTCATCGGTGTTGCCTTTGATTTTTGTGAATGGCTGCAGACTAAGTCAGATGTTATACTTCTTCTTGAGTGATCATATGTAGTGCTGTAAAGTGGTGTATACTTTTACCAACTATGAAAGGGGTCTGTGTACGAGAGACTCACTTGATCACTGATGCTTTCAAGAAGTATGCGTGTGTATACAATGCCCCATAGCCTGGTTAGAGACCCCCCCCCCCCCCTCCCACACACACAACATACATACACACACAAATACACACACACACGCACAACCTACATACACACACACACACACACACACACACACACACACACACACACACACACACCTGTCCTGTCCTGTCCTGTCCTGGCCTGAACATTGCCATAAAACGGTCACATGTCCCTCATACGAGGGCCGACAGAATACGGTACGCAGCACGCTCCGCAGGCTAGCGACCAACGAGAGTTCGGGTATATTTTGCGCAGAGTTGGAAACCCCTCTTTGATCGGCAGCACCTGCCACATGCGCTGCAATGAGCCTGGCAGCAGGGTAGGGTACACACACACATACGCGATACACAAGGACATTTTGTTCATAGTTTGACAGCAGCATGAAACAAGGTAGAGGACACCGTGTTCGGAAACAGCGACCTTTCTGCAGCCATCCACACGGTTGGTAGAACCTCGGTCTGTTGAGACCATCTGAACCGTATGGGTCCTGGACCCGGTTCCGACCCTCTTTATTCCAGGGTTTTTTTACAGACTTCTCCTAACGTCAGCCATCTACAAGGACATTTGTATAGAAATTTGCTTTGTTCTGCATTGTATGGTACCGTATGTGCAGACAATGCAAGTCATCCTGAATACCCACTGTAACTCACAACTACCGGTAACTGACAGGAAGACCTGTTGCCAAGGGTTACTTCACTCAATCACTGCTCCACAGGTTGTGCTACTGGTTATATTTGTATGCAGGTTAGTTACCATGGATACGAGATGTACTAGTCAGGTGAAAATGAAGGAATGAATTTGAAATATGTCCGTTAGCACATCTGTTCCAATGCCTAGACACTGGCAGTAATTATGTTATGTGTACACTTACTTCTGTATTTGATAGTAAATACACCAAGGTGACTGTGTGGAATGAATTCTTTTTCTCTGTTACGATAATGACCCACAGCTTGCGGCACTTTTTAACTTGCCTTTACGGTAACAATTAGTTCACTTCCGGTTTTGCTGGTGGTAATTGCTCTGGGCGGATTTCCTTGCGATGTTTTACGGTTGCTATGGTTTCTGTGTATTTATCTATTCCAGTGCCATCGTAACGTTGTGGGGACGCTGGTACAGGCACAGATGCTCACGTTCTCTACTCTGGCCACCGAGTCAGACTTCTATCCAGGAGACAGGTAACACAGGTAAACTACTTCAGTATGTTTCATTGGCCATGTACCATGGAGGGATTCGGACCAAATATAGGGCTCTCACTAGGTACGGGAAAGATGAAGGAGAGATGCCTTCAATATGTCGAGATTATGAATCGAAACAAACGGCAATAATCTTAGAATCGCAATATGGAGAACCAGTTGGATGGGCATGTGACTGCATCCAACTGGTTCTCCATGTTGCGATTATGAATCGAGCACTTTTAACTGCACTTCTGCATCATCTGTACTTCATTACTGGAAATTCTTATGAAAATCTCTCTTTTCTGTGGATGCGTGTATCACAGGTTTAAAGCACAATACTTCATCACCTGTTGTGATGATCTGTCAGTGCATCACATTGCTTGGAATAGTGCTTCTCTACACCTACTTAGCTGACAGGACACCAGTATTCACGAAAGAGGAGAAACATTTCAACTGGATATCATTCACTGTTCCATTGACAATTTTGGGAATTCTTGGCTTTGTGACATACCAACCAGTCAAAGATGCTTCTGTTCTAAACCGTCAGCAAACCTGTGAAACACGAGGATGGATGCAGCTAGTATTGCTGGTGTATCATTACACAGGTGGCAGCAAGGTACGTCATATTCTGTAAGCAGCTATTGTCTAATCGCCTTGCACTGACAAACATCTACGTACTAAAACATAGGTGCTTTAAAGAATACGTAAAACTATAAATCAACAACAGTTACTGCTCTAAAGGAACACTGACTCTTAGAGGCCAATCGTCTCGGGAACCTTCAAACAATATTCCTACATACAGGTCTCATCCTGCTTTCCAAATGATTCCTGGCCATTGGCAGCTTTCTGGACTGCCCGGGGTGACCTGAACCAGTCGGCCTACTTCCCTGAGACTTATACACCGCTTTACACTTGTAACCATACCTAGTGCTCTGGGCATGCCTTCTGCTAGTTACGATCCGCTGCACATGTAGCACTGAGTAGATAGCCAGGGCTTAGAGGACCTTGCTGTCACACCTGATGCATGGCCATAGCCTAGGGCTCAGAGTAGGTGCAGTAAAACTAAGGACTAGTGCAGTGATTTACTACCCCCTGAGTAGAGCCTCCCTTGGTGCAAGCCTTTCCACAAATTATTACTCCATGCTTCAATCCTGGCTGATCCAATCCAGTGATAGCCAATCCGAGTGTAAAACGGACCATCTTCCTTTTCTGATCACAGAATGTATAGTCACGATGGTGTTCGCAATAGAGAGTTCCCAGTGACAGTGCATGTGTTGAGGGTCTACATGCATAGTGGCTGGGGAAGTTTTAGCAAGAAATCAAAGTACTTTTGATGCTGCATATGTTCTTTTTTTTGCACAGATCCTTGGTCTGTACTATGTGGCTCGACTTATTGTAGCAATGTACATCTTTCTAAGTGCCTTTGGACATTACACGTATGGTTTGAAGCGTGGAGCAAGCAGTTGGTCTCGTGTAGCTGAGGTCCTGTTCCGTCTAAATCTCTACACCGTTCTACTGTGCTTGACTATGGATGTACCGTATCTTCACTACTATTTTGTACCACTGATCTCAGCATGTTACTTACTAGTACTACTGGTTGCTGCCATACCTCCAGTTGGTGAGTACAGTATTCAATGAACAGAAGTTCAGCAGGTTGGGGACATTTTTTGGTCCAGATTGGTTTTTCATAAAAGTCTGCTCAAATTCTCTGAAAGACAAGTGTAGATACTTCGAGTGCTCAGAAATCATTGTATGAAATGAAAATAGGGATCACCAGAGTCTACACTACTCATTGCAGACTGGCAGTTGAAGATTTATGATGAGCAAGCTACTCTATATTCATGATATTGGCCTACCAAAATTAAGCCGAGATCGTTACGAAGCCATGATGTGATTGTGGTGAAAAGTGATAATGAAACTGTGTGACAATGACTGAAGCTTTAGTAAACTTACCCTCTTCTTCATACACATTTTTAACATTTTCATCATATGAGCCTGGATCAGCAAAAACCATCACATGTGCAAAATTTTCGAAAAATATTTTGTGCTCCAAATTGATCCACAACCACTGATAACCAGTCTCAAGAAATTTTAGATCAATCACAGCACCGTAAGTGACCAAAAAATGCGGTACACCACATCTCTGTACAAATGTTGGAAGTGGCATTTCTGTGTAGGATGCAAGTATGAGCATTGGTATGTGTCTGATCCTGTTAGGCATTGCCATCACTCAGCCGGCTAACAAGGAGGAATTTTATAGTCCTGGGGGGGGGGGGGGGGGGGTGTACTCAGACACTGGCTCGTCCAAGTAAATCATTGGCTTCACTGACTATCGCGCAGCTAACGGCATATGGCCAAGTTCCAGGGGCTGATATTGCATCCACACCAGGCTCTGTACTGATGCTCTCCAAGCCCTTCACTTCCATGAAAACATATCTGCACACACGGAGTGCGATCACAGCAACTGTGACTACTTAGCACACAGGCTCATGAGCATGAGGTACGTACTAGGTGCAGATACATTCAACGGTTACCTGACCCTACAGGAACATATTTTTTGAAATATTTTGGGAGCTGCTGCATGGACCAAATAAATGTTTCAAGTACCGTTGCTCAGTGTCCAAGCCAACGAAGCAGATCTTGTCTGGCGCTAGCTCCCGTTGCTCTTCCAGTCGTGAATCGAGACGCCTTTGCTCTGCATCGTCAATGTCGATATCCGACAAACTTACTAGTGAAGGAGTCGTTCATCGCTCAACAATATCCACTCGAGTCGTCGTCATTCTCATCAGCGCTGCTTTCTTCTACACGAAGTCTGCAGCCTCGCCGAGTTGCTTTGCGGCAGGAGAGAGTCGTCCTCTGGAGCTCCGCGGCTTTCACCTGACTCCCTTGATGAGCAATCGCCATCCCAGTCATCACCAAAAAATGTCGTGTCGTGATTGGCGTCAACGACGATCGATGCGCGTGCGATGCTCGCGCCCCGCGATCGTACCTATTCGCCAGCCATGCTCAGGTACGTGGGGTTTCCCATCCGTGTCTCCTCACTTGCCTGGGGCTCGCCTAGCTAGCTAGTCACTGACAAACAAACAAACACGGGCTTGTCAGGCGGAAAGAAAGACTAGTGACAAGAAAGACAGAAAGGTGGTGGGTAGTTGTTAGATCCGCGACTTTTCTTTCGCTCGACTTCAACGTCACTTTTTGATCAACTTGATATCAAACACAAGCGATGGTTTTCGCTGATCCGGGCTCATATTGTGAGAGCCGTGGGCCAATAGCCCCGGTGAGAAGGCAGTCTTGCCTGTTCATATGGTGAAGTAAAATAAAGAAACAACAACAACCCTCCTCTCTTTAAAGAGAACAGCATATGATAGATAGGTGGACATGGTCATATCGGTGTGATCAATGTAGCTCGTTATTCAGTATTACGCAGAAGTCAATGATGATTTGCTCCCTGAAAATTGGAGTTTCATCCTAGGCGATCCTCAGCCAACTTATTCAGTATTACAACAAAGCTCCTTCGGAATGATTAGACTGTTCCATTATAGATTGCCTAGTTTTGCACTACACGGTGCCTACCCTGAATCAGTGTGACTAGTAGTTGAGTGTATTTCTCTGTTTCTTCAGCATGGGATCAGAACAAGTCACCATGGATGCAGGTGCTCAAGGCAAGCTGTTTCATTATCGTCTTCGCCTTGTATCGGATACAACCAGTGAGTATGGATGCAGTCCACTTTACGATGATTCTGTATGGGATCGTAGTCTTTAGTTGTTGTGTCTTGGCATGGAAGTGTTTGTGTTGACCGTGAAAATGCATAGTCACAGTATAATTATGGTCATAATTCGACATGCAGTTTCTCTGCCTTTGTTGCAGTCATCTTGGTGTGTCGATCTCTTACCACGTTTTACTCTGGTTAATTAAACACGCGGTAACTTTAACTAACCGTGTAGTGGAAATCACCTTGGTGCTGGTAGGTAAGCGACAGTGTTGTCCAGTACAATCACTATTAACATTATTTTGCCAATTAATATTTGGTGTTTGACAGAGGCACTGAACTGAACTGACCACGTCCCACACAGCTCAGTGCAGATCATGACTTAGAGTTAGACAAGTTCTAGCTTGAATATTCAGCTATAATCTCATCGGCCAATGTGGATGAATCATGCAGGTCTGTACTAGTACTGAGTTTGTCAGTTCATCATTTTTGTTGTGCACAGGATATGTTGAACTGGATAATATCCTTCCCTCCGCTCTCCCTACTCTTCCTGGATGATGACAACTCCCTACACGAGTGGACATTTCGTTTTGGACTAGACATCCTGGCTGTGCCATCGGGTATCCTGTGTGCCGTAATGCTACATCGATTCCCACAAATCAATGGGTGGATATGTTCAAGGAGTATTGGTAACAACTTGATGACAATACTTTCAGCCTTGACATTGGTATGTATACTACTTCCTTGTACCTAGATTCATTGGAACACATGATGACTACATAAAAATGTAAGGAAAATATCTGAAATGAATTGCAGACTGGTTATTGGCTGGAATGAATCATTTCCGAGCATGTGGACAAAGCAATGCGTGGAAGATTCCTCACAATGAAGGCATACTTATGTAACTGAGGGACTCATTACATGAGCACATCACAAGCATTGTGACACATGCCATTTTTGGTGAAGTATGCTCATCATTTCTGCACATTGTGACAGTGTACTTTGAATACTTTTCTGATGTCAATGCTGTATTGTTTCTTTGTCATGACAATGCCTATTCTCCTGTACAGGTAGTGTACTGTGGAATGATGGCAACAAACTGCACTAGTAAACCAGAGTGTAATCTTGTACATACCTACCTATCACCAATCATGGTAAGTAACAACTGAATATCAACATCAATACATGTGTGCACATCAGTGATGCGATGGGTTGTGCTCGTCAGCGTGAGCATTATTCACACAGTCAAACAGTGGAAATAAAGGCTCTGTGGTTGTAACTCAGATTTCCATACGTGACAATCGTGCAACCATCAGACATCTTCGCACACTAGGTGCACAAGTCATGTATACAAGGCCGCAGTGTGTCCTGCTGTATTTCAATAAGATATGTTACATACAGGAGAAATGAATGCCAGTCCAAATCAGAAGCAGTTAAGATGCAGCCAATGCATGTTTTTGTGTCATTTTGCGAAAACCTCCACAGCTCGTAGGATTTGTTCTGGTGCGCAACACGTGGGAACCACTACGCAACCATTACAGTCAGTTCTTTGACTGGGTGGGAAACTACTCGTTGGAGGTAAGCTGGCCAGTAATAATCAGTACCAGGTTGAATCCAAGTGTTACCGGTGTTGTGGTGGACTCTTCAAACCTGGCTGAATTTCTATTTCCCTGTTCTTGGACTTTTCTGGCCTCAAATGTGGCAAGGAGTAATTGCACGGGTCGCACAATGCAGGATGTACTGTTGCTTTCACGATATCTGCAACTATGTGCGTTAGGGTGCCAGTTTCCAATGAATAAACTGTAGACACAGATGATGCAGCTGAACACTATGCAGCTGTACACTATGCAGTTGAAAAAAAAGATTGACACATACAACAATTGCAAACTGTAAATGGAGAACAGTCGGGAAGTAAAAGCCTAGCAATATGTAGACTTGTGGACCAGTATTACTGAATCTACTAATCACTGATTCATCAACAACGGCATCACATGTCTGACTTTTTTTACATGGCAAACGTTCACAACTCTACCTGTGTGTACGTGCACAAACGCACAACAACACATGGCTCTTTTTGATAGTACATGACTGTATAACTACCATCGAAGGAATTGAGACATTTGACTATATTATGTGGGTATGCAATTTGACACACAGTCGCTTGATTCGTCTTCTTTCCACTGCAGCTTTTCATCGCCCAGTATCACGTCCTGCTGGCTAATGATACACGTAGTCTACTTGTCCTGGTCGAGGGTAATCCAATTCTCAACATCTGCATCGTCACAACCATCTTTGTACTAGTATCACACACTGTAGCTGAGTGTACACAAATGTTAGTCAACGTCATGAAGGGACTCGCAACTGAGAGTGAATAGCTGGGAGCATTAGCAATACAATTATTGTAGTACAGGCTGGAACAATTGTTGGAACAATCAACTTCAGGCTGAATCGATTTATTAATTTATAATACATGTTCTACCCAAGCGCCAAAGCCTCCAATGCTTTTAAATGTATTCTATTGTATTTTTTCGGTCCTTCCCCAGTTACCCAAAATCTTCAATTATCCAAATCCACAACAGTGGCTGTCCTCAGTACATCTGAAGGATATCATACTGCACACTAGAATTATGTCTTTTCCGAGCAATATGCAGTATTGTGTGGATCGTTTTATATTGCTCCTTTGTCAATATTATTATTAGTCCATTCTGGGCACTCTGGGCATCATCTGACTTACATGTACTTGCTGAATGCTAGGCCCGCACAGATTTTGTACGAGTATGCACTTCTTTCGGCGAAATATCGAAGCTTTTCAGAAGGCGGGTATTGCTGGCAAAACTGGAGTGAAGTATCAAGATTGTGGTTTGATGCCTGCTACTTCTTTCTTTGCATTGAGTAGAGTAAGAGCTGTAAAGGCGACTACTCTGAGAAGGCAGCCAACCACCTGCCCCAGAGGACCGCTACAAGTAGGACCAAGACTAAGAGATGTTATTTCCAGTCAATTGGTCCTGGATAAGAAGACCACATGTGCTCCATTTTAAAATGCATTGTACACGGGACGACTTTTGAAAGGTCCCTTTAGAACTCGGCTAAGACAGGTTTCACTGTATACTTGATTTGGGTACGAGCTCAGGCGCGTACGCAGGGGGGTTTCCCGTTGCCCGGAAACCCCCCAAATGTTCCAAACGAGCAACGTTTTTGGGCATATTTTGGTAGGGCGCACGATCGACCTGCAAGAATGCAAAACTTCAACAGATCGTAACTCAGTCAAATCTCGCTCAAATCCAACGATCCAAATATCCAGGTCGAATAGAAAACTCTCAGCTGTCGGTTGAAATAATTTGCGACGCGCTGCGAGCAATGTCTCTTGAGATAAATCGTTCGTGAGTTCAGCCGCGTATATGTACATGGCTGTACTGTGTCCTGGCTATCATGGTCGACCTCATTCTCTCCCTGGTACCTTTCCACTTCCAGGAAGCCCAAGATAATGAAGATTGAGTGAGTAGAACTGAAGTTAAGTTCCAAAGAACACGAACAAATGCATAATTTTGAAAATTTCCTAGTGCTCTTTACACAAAGGCACACAATGAAAACCTTGGCAAATTTTATTCCGTTGTGACTCAGAGTTTCATGGCTGAACCAATCATCAGACAACGTCCTTTGTGTACGCCGCTCTGCCTGAATCAGGCATTGAGCACTCTTGCAGAACCAAAGCATATTGCCTCTGTCCTAGTGCTCTTTAGAAATACAAAGTATACAAAATACAAAGGGTTAAAACGAGTCATTGTTTGCGATTCGGTTGGAAACCCCCCTAGAGGTGACCCTGCGTACGCGCCTGGAGCTCATGCGACTCCCTGACCCTGGTCTACCGGCTTGCAATGCAGTACCATTCCTTATCCTCCCACGTGCGCTAGTGCGGTTAAAAACGGCTCAAGCTCAGTGATCAGTATTCTATGAAAGAAAGCAGCAAGCTTCTTGTACGAATTGTACGGGAAAAAATACCAAAAATACCATCATTAATCAATGTATGGAAAGTGCCACTGAAACCTAAACCAATACTCTACACAGATACAATAGATACACATAGAATCCTCTACAGTGTTCTATGTGTATCTGCACTGTTATTTTGTGTTAGTTCGGTAGAAGTACAGCTACTGGGGCCAGTGGGCCCTGTTCTATTTTTGTAGCTGGTTCTTCCCAACGCCTTTTCAGTTGTACAAGTACAACCTATCGATGCGTTCAGCATCTATATCTTTAGAAAGCGAACCAGGCGTGAGATGTTGCGAAGGTGGCTTGTACTTCCTCCCGTCTTGCTGACACTTGATTGACTCGCGACGGCTTTCTGGAGCACACGAGAAGCACGTCGAACCTTCTACACCATGACTGTAATCGGCAGGCATAGTGGGATGGTCTAAGACCATGATTTAGAAACAGAGGGTACCAAGTTCAAGTCCTGCTTGGAAGCAGGGAGATTTTGGATTTCGGTCTTTGACCACTTTGTATTTTTGTATTTTATTATATTTAAGGATTTCCCAAAGGCTTTGGGCCTGTCGAGGGGATCTCCTGCAAGAAGAATGAAATGACAACTTTATGTAGAGGGAGCAGACACTTTGTGGTGGGTCTTGAATTATGCAGGGATGTGTTGTCCTTACGACGGAAGCCAGATTGTAAGGGGTGAAGAAGAGGAGAGAGATGGTAATTATACAAGCGGTCAAACGCTATTCTCTCTAGCAGTTTTTGAGACACAGGACAGGAGGGAGATTGGTCGGAAATAAAACGGGTTGTTCTTGTCACCTTTATTCTTACACTGGAATGACAGTGGCTGACTTACATCGTGATGGGAATGTGCCGGAGGAGAGGGAAAGGTTAAAAAGAATGGAGAGTGGGCGGACAATTGAGTGCCTCTTTTTCCTTGGTGCAAGTCACACTCCATGTATGTTCTTCATTATCTTTCTTTACCTTTACTGGGTCTTCACATTGTCTATAGCCTCATCTTTTAACTTTTCTTTTTCCTTTTTGCCTGATCGGCGCTCTTTGAATTTGGGTGTCAACACTGTTGAGTTGTTCGATGTTAAACGAGAGAGCTTGGAAGCTCAGGGCCCTACGCTATGCTTTTTTGCCTTGATGACCTAGACAAAAAAAGCATAGGGATTATTATTATTATTATAGACAACACCTCATGGCATGAGAAGAAAATCAGCCAGTACGGGAGATGTGGGTGTTAACCAACCATGGTGAATAAAAGAAGAAAAGAAGAAAAGTAATGGTCAAGACGGAGAAGCATGGGCGGGACAGGTGATGGTGAATCTAGTGAGCAAATTTAAATGCGTCCAGGGTACTGGCATTGCGCGTAGTAGCGGGCAGCGCACGCCAAGCAGAGTAAGCAACAAAGAGTGGAGAGCGTACAAGGGAGGACGTTTTAGCCAAGGGGAGGGCAACAGAGCATCTTGTCTGGGAGCCATCTGTGATTCGGAACCAGTTATACACGTTTAGATGAGGAGGATGTAGAGCTAGTTTAAATTTGTGAGCAAAAGTGCAATTTAATTTTTGACGGTGGGTCGACAGTGGGCAAGCATTTGCAAGGACATACAGGGAAGCAGAAGAGTAGAGAGGGGGTAGACTAAACAGGATACGAAGAAGTTTTCTATGGTGGATTTCGAGACGCTCAGCAAGAACCGAGGACAAGCCACACCAGCTAACAGCAGCGTACATGAAAAGAGGCAGGATGTACAGTTTGTAAAACAAAATTTTACATTAAATTTTGAAAGGAAGATGGAAACAATGGGGACGTATAACACCTAGGGCAGAGCTTGAACGGCTGCAAAGAGCATCAATATGGAAAGACCAAGAGAGACGATCATCAAGCATTATTCCCAGGTGTTTATGGTTGGAAACAACCTTTATGGGTTCTGGGAAATCAGGATGGTGTAAAAGTGACATGGATGCGATTGGGGGAAGGAACATTATTTCGGTTTTAGTCAGGTTGGGTCTAAGTCGCCATGTTTGCATCCAGCGTAGGACACTGCGTATCTGAGCCGACACTCGAGGTACAAGAGCCGCTGAGGACGAGGATGCTGACAGTAGGGTTGTATCATCAGCAAATAGCGAGACACCTGGGTCTAGTCTGTAGAGGGTAAATCATTAATTTTACACATTCTGCACTCATAACCATGTATAAACAATTAAAATGAAACAATTCCAGAACGTTTTCGTGTGACCATCATCAGTGGAACATCGTCACATAGTAAGAATCACTAAAACAACCAGTTATATAGCTAGAGTAATATGAAAAGAAGCGTGAGAATGCAGCACAGCTAGCGGTTATGCATAACGCGTGTAGTGTCTACTAGTGTGAACCTTTGCAGTGTATCTGAGAATGGTAGCAGTAGATGAATGTGGCAGCTGTGAGTGCGTGTGAACAAAAACTGGTGAGTGCGTATTATTTAAAAAGTGTGAGTGCTACAACATTTTCTTTTTGCTTGCATAGAACAGGGTCACGTGTGCGAATATATACAGCTTCCAACACCTGCAACTGCTTAAAGAAACGCGCGCGACAAATAACACTAAACCAGGAATCGTCAAACAACTTACGACAATCCGGACTGGACACCAAATGCTTGTAGATGGCAGACTTGCTCTTGTCGATGTCGAACCCCTCCTCGTCCGTATCACTCTCATCCTCCACTTCCTGTTCCTGCTCACCCTTGCTTTCCTCCTGACCATCCTGTTCATCCCCATCATCATCCTCCATCTCCATCTCCTCATGCCATCGCTTCTTTCCCCTTGACGTGTTCACTGCTGCGCCCGTACTTTCACCTGCCACTACTGGTTCCGCCTTCTCCATTTTTCTCAGTCGTGTCTCCGCTAGTCTCTGGCTTCTCCTCAGATTCGTTTTTTCTCCATTTTCATTTTGTTCTCCTGGTGATCTTTCCGTTACCGCCGTCGGGTTTGTTAACGAACGATCGTCCGGTGGTCTCCCATGCCGTGTTGTTGTCGTCAAGAGTGACACCAGATTCGTGTGTTGCGCTACTGTTGAGTCCGGTGTTGTATCCGTTTCTGGTTGTGTTGTAATACTGACAGGCGTAGTAGTAGGCAACGGGTGTTTTCGTGGCCTCCCACGCTTTGGCCTGCCTGCCCTGGCCGCTTTTGACAACAAGGACAATGGGACGTGTTGTTTGATACGTTCGGACAAGTGTTGAAGCGTCCTGCATGGGAGACCACCGGACGATCGTTCGTTAACAAACCCGACGGCGGTAACGGAAAGATCACCAGGAGAACAAAATGAAAATGGAGAAAAAACGAATCTGAGGAGAAGCCAGAGACTAGCGGAGACACGACTGAGAAAAATGGAGAAGGCGGAACCAGTAGTGGCAGGTGAAAGTACGGGCGCAGCAGTGAACACGTCAAGGGGAAAGAAGCGATGGCATGAGGAGATGGAGATGGAGGATGATGATGGGGATGAACAGGATGGTCAGGAGGAAAGCAAGGGTGAGCAGGAACAGGAAGTGGAGGATGAGAGTGATACGGACGAGGAGGGGTTCGACATCGACAAGAGCAAGTCTGCCATCTACAAGCATTTGGTGTCCAGTCCGGATTGTCGTAAGTTGTTTGACGATTCCTGGTTTAGTGTTATTTGTCGCGCGCGTTTCTTTAAGCAGTTGCAGGTGTTGGAAGCTGTATATATTCGCACACGTGACCCTGTTCTATGCAAGCAAAAAGAAAATGTTGTAGCACTCACACTTTTTAAATAATACGCACTCACCAGTTTTTGTTCACACGCACTCACAGCTGCCACATTCATCTACTGCTACCATTCTCAGATACACTGCAAAGGTTCACACTACACGCGTTATGCATAACCGCTAGCTGTGCTGCATTCTCACGCTTCTTTTCATATTACTCTAGCTATATAACTGGTTGTTTTAGTGATTCTTACTATGTGACGATGTTCCACTGATGATGGTCACACGAAAACGTTCTGGAATTGTTTCATTTTAATTGTTTATACAT